AAAGAACAAAACAACTAAGAAAAACAACAATGGGTCCATCAATAGAGAACTGGCTAAATGAGCCAGGGCTACAGTGACACTATGGGATACTCTACAAGAGTCAGAAGGAGGGAGACAGGTCTCCACTAACATGGAGAGATCTCAGATGGACTGGGGTGAGGGGATGAGAAAAGCCCCTTGCTGAACAAAGGATACAGAATAAAACCCTCAATGTTTTAAAAAATACAAAGAAAAAGGACTGGAAACAACCCAAAATGGAAACACTCCCTTAGGGAGTAGGGTGGGTGATCCAAGGACAACTTTAGCCTAATCTGTATAGGTTTTTATTTTTCAAGGAGAATGTTTTCATATATTCATTATGTAATTATGAATTAATTCCCAAACACTCACCCCGCCCCCACCACCATAAGTGGGGAGTGTGGAGGGAACTAACATCACACTTGGCTGCCTGGTTAGCTAAGTTGGTTAGTGTGGTGTTGTTAACACCAAGGGCAGCCACAAAAAAAAAAAAAGAAAAAAAGTTTAAAAAAAAGTACATGGGATTTACTTGCTCTGTGCTATGGAGCTGGGTCAGAGGAAGATGGTGAGCACGGAGGAGACTGTGCTAAGAAGACTGAACCACCCAAAAACCTCAGTGCTAAGGAAAGCCCCAGGAGTCCCTGCCACTGCAATCCCAATGTGACCACCCCCTGTTCACACCTCTCAAACCCCAACAACCTCATCTAGTCAGCCCCTTCCTGGAGGTCAGAGTTGACTTTCAGGCCCTGCTCCCCACCTGAAGAGGAGCTAGCTGGCCTGCCTGTTGGGGATGAGCCAGGATCACCATAAGGAAGAACTTTCTAACACTCCCAAGTTCACAAGGATGGAGCAGGCAGACTTGATAGGGACTGAGCTCTCTGTCCTTGGAAGCATGCAAGCTCATAGTGAAGATGCTGCCAAGGGATCCCTTATACTTGCATAAGAGCTCTAGGATTCTGTGACCCTATGAATCCTAACTGCTCTTCATTCCAACACACACTGTGCTAAGCCCTTTATAGGCATTATCTTCCATATTCCTCACAATCTCACCATCACCTTTCTATAAATAAAGAACTGAGGCTCAGGGAAATTAGGGAAGTTCCCCAAGATCACACAGCCAGGAAGAGGCAGAGAGGATCTGAACACAAAGCTCTCTGCTTCCAGGCCTGTGCTCCCGCCAATACTCTCAGTGCCACCCCATAAGATCATTGTGCTCTAGAGGCAGGTGAACCTTCTGATCTCTCTTTATTCACCACAAACTGGGAATTCTGTGGCCACCCCCAACTCCATGAAGTAGGGTAAGAAGGAAGAGAGAAGGTGCCAAACGTTTAAGTGCCTTACTGCCACAGGACTTTCGTGCAGCTTTGATGGCCTGGCCTCAAGGATGCCTTCTAACTGCCAGGCCTTTTTACCAGCTATGGTCTGCCCTGATCCTCCCTCTTACTACTCTCTTCCATGAATTTCCCTTCCTGAAGTCTCCTCTTCCCCTCCAAAGCACCCTAGGAAACTATCCCCTAAAAACAAAACAAAACAAAAAATCAATTAGCATAAGTAGAGCCAGGCTTTGGATTCCCAGATCTGAGTGGAAATCCCGGCTTGCCACTCTACCCTGTGTGACCTTGGACAAGTTCTTCATCCTCTCTGAGCCTGTTTCCTCATCAGTAAACCCAGGTAAGATCATCCTTCTCCTCAGGGATTGGGGAGGATTTAAAAAATAAGAAAGAGACGGACACTCAATGGCATTCACTTTATACTTATTCTGAAAAGGTTCTGGGATATACCATAAGCAGATAACCCCACTTCTACATTCCTCCACCCCTCACCACACAAAGATCTGCAGCATCAAGGCTTTTTTTTTTTTTTTTTTACCAAAAGAGTTGTTTCTAGATCAAACTTGTCTGCCTCCTATTTTAGAGGCTATCTGCATAAATTCATGTTTCCCTTTTTGCCTAGGCTGCTAGGAAGCTCAACAAAGAATCAATAGCCTTAAACTTGCTACAAGTCAATTCCCCACTCCACACCACCGACTTTTCAAAATATATTACTTTAACTCTTCTGTCTTTATGTATCTTAATATCATATTCCATCTAATGTTCCTTCTGAAATTAGATGGGATGGGGGTTGTGATAAATCAGTGAGCACCGCCTGACATCTGTTAAGAATACTGAGGTTGGTTCTTTGATACTGGATGAAAAGTATATTTCCTTCTCAAGGGGGGGGCATTTCTACCCACCTTCCCTTCCTCCTACCACACCAGGAACATTTACCAAATCCTGGGAAACAGAGGAATTTGATGGGGAATTATCTTCTACCTTCTCATTTACTGCCTCAGTGCAGCCTTCCCTGATCCCTCCAAGGGAGATGCATCCTCTGGGCACCGCAGGCACTATGCCTGAGGTCTCCATCACTCCCTCCAGAGTGCCAGACCCCGTGCTCAGCTGAGTGTGGCAATTAAGAGCATGCACCAGAAAAGCCAGAAAAATCACTCCTGTGGAGGAGGGCTGTGAGATCTGGGGCAAAGAACTGACCTCTGAGCCTCAGTTTCTTCACCTGCAAAATGGGGCAGAATAAGAGGATATAAAGCCCTTGGCAAAGGGCCTGTAGTCTAGTGCTCGCCTGATCAGTGGGAGCAAGCACAGCTTCCCAGCAGATGGTGCTGCTGTTGGGTGAATCCCTCCCGCCTCAGACTCAGTGGAATTGTCCGTTGCCAGAGAAACAGCTCATTCCTTCTCCAACAAGCAAATTGCTGAAGGAACTAAAAGGTGCAGGACTTCAGAACTCTGATGGGAGACCCTCATCCCCCCTCCCCCCAGAAAGCACTGCAGGCGGGGGGGCGGGGGGGGAGGAGGAAGCCCACCCCCCTCTCACCTAGTCCCTGAGAGGCTGAAGACCAAATGAGTGCTAAGCTCTACCACAGGATACTTGGTGAATCCTACATTACACCTAGACCTCAATGTCTATAACTGCTCAGGCCTGGGCTGCTGAGCCCACAGGGAACCCCCAGATCAGGAACATAAGCCTCTTCCAGGGGAAGCTACCAAGGACCACAGCAGGGCCCTCCTCTAATTTCAATTCCTTTTATTCCCCTTATCGCAGTTCTCACTGTTCAAATACAAAATTAGCCACACATGTTTTGGTCGTGATCACTAGGGGAAATCCACCCCCTAACCCAGTCATCATCCTCTGCCCAGCAGAGGTCACCCCACTATTCCAAAACTTCCTAAGGCTGCCAACAGAACCAAGTCACTACTGCTCACAGGGGGACCCTCAGCTTCTGGCTACACCAGAAAAAAGCACTTCAACTCCAGCTTCACTAACCTGTTGGCCACTCCCTCCAGCTTTCCTTCAACTTTCCCATCACCAAGCCTTGGCTCACAGTGCTCCACCCTCGGAAGCCCTTTCCCTACCTCTGCCTCAGATTTCTGTGAAGTCTCAAAGGCCACTTCCTCCAGGAAGCCTTCTTGGATGTAACTCGATCTCCCTCTCCTCTGCCCTTCTGTACCACTTCGCACAAGCTGCCTGGCTCTCCCCTGGGCAGCCCCCAAGCTGCTCAACTCTGAGCTCTTCACAACCTGCACAGAGTCTAGCACTTAAGTAGCAGTCAGAGTCAGGTCAGTGGCTCTCACCACCTGCAGACTTAAATTAGTCCAGGAAGTGGGCCTTTCCTCCCAGAATATGGAATCCCACCTCCCCCAAAATAACTCTGGGATAAGAGTTTAAAACATAGATTTCTAGCTGTATTTCCTGAGATTCACATTCCGCTTCCACATTTTTTCAGGGGGTGGGGTCCAAAAATCTGCATTTGAAACAAACTCCCTCCAGGAGATTTCCGAGGCTGGGGTGGGGGAGGAGGGCCCAGGAAAGGAGATCTGAGAAATCCTGAAATAGAAATAGCCCTAACCCAGGTGGAGGTGAGCGCTCATCTGGTGGGGTGCGGAGATTTGATCTCAGCCCAGGGCTTGGCACCACTCTCACCTTCCTGCTCTCCAGCCTGAGCCCGGCAGCTTTACTAGAACCCAGCAGTAGGGGGACAGCGGGGAAATGCCCATTCGCTGGATTGTAAAGGAAAATGGGTCCTGGCTCACTTCCAATTCCACCCTAGTCTTCTGAAAATGGACCAGGCCCTCAGCCGGTGGAGAAGCATCCCCCAGGAGCAGCCACCCAGCTTCCAGACCCTCACAAGAGGGTACTATGGAAAGAAAGCTAACACCCCCAGGCCTCTAGTGTGTGAATGGGGGGGGGGGGGGGGGGGTGACAGAAGGCTCGCATTGGTCCTCCTTAGCAGAGGTCTGCCTGCACAGGGGTCTGGGAGGGTATGAGTCTTGCCTCTGGCTTACCACAAATCCCTTCCTCCAGAGCAGGGCGTGCTATCTCGGCCACGCCGGGCAGGCCAAACCGGCTGCAACCCGCCGGCGGGTCACCCAGAGGAAGCCAGAAGGGCCGTGCATGAGAGTATGTGTTGGGGGAGAGGATATGCGTTCTCGATGAGTGTTCTGGGGTGCAGCCACGCGGAGCTCTGGGAGCTCGGCAGAAGGTAGGCCGAGAGTGCTGGGTTCCCTGGAACTGTCTGGGCAGAGAGGGAGAAAGGGGGAAAGGGATAGGAGAGATGGAGAGGGGAACAGGGGGAGACAGAGAGAAATGGAGAGGGTGGGGAGAGAATTGTGCGCAGTGATGTCGCTTAGGTGGGCGCTTCTGTGTGTGGCCGCTGGTGATCACCTTGGAAGGGGAATAATGGGGCGTTGGAAAGTGGGCATTGTGAACATGGGTGCTCACAGGGACGGCCACGGGGACGTCTCGAGGTGAGAGGGCTCTAGGGTGATCTCGGTCGGGGCCGTCCATCCTGGAAGCGCCCCCGGGGTAGGCATGGCGCGTCTGTGCGCGTGTGAACCTGGGTTGGGGGAGTGCAGCCCCGGAGTCCCCCAGCCCCTCCTGCCTGGGGCGGGACCCCTACCCCAGCCCCACGGGCCCGCGCGCGCCCTCACCAGCTGCAGCAGCATGGGCGCGCCGAGGCTGGAGCGCACGAAGCCCGGGTCCGGGCGCAGCGTGGGG